TTAACTTTTTCTTTTAGTTAAAAAGGATTTTATTAGCGAACAGGCTGAAAACCGGATGTGTTTATTATAAGCGATTTGAACTTAGTATCAAAAGATAAGTGAAGTGGCGTTAAACAGATTTTTAAGTAGTGCTTAATCTAAGTAATATACTGAATTACAGAGATTTTGTAGACTAGATAGCTTTTCTAATATCGACTACTCACATTATTATTTATATCAGGTAGACAAATATCATGGCTCTAATAACGTATAAATAGTAGTACGTGGTAAGCTTAAGTAAACATATTTTCCGTCAAGAAATTACATTGCCTATAAAACTATAATAAATAGATAGATGTTTGATTTTATAATTTAAGTCATGAACTCATTTTAGCTGGGTTATCATTGGAGATCAGGAAGCACTGAACGATCGTATCGTCCTAGCATTAGGTTTCTCAGTTGTGTGCACCTAGGACTCCACATCTGAGAATTGAAATTGGGGACTTTGGCTTCACGTGCAAAGGCCTAACCTCTGAACCACTAAGCTGGGATTGATTGGTGAATATGTCTAAATTCAATTAATTTGCAATACTGCACAACTCTTATTCATTATCTGTGATATACAATTATCTGACATTCGATTTGGTTGAACTTCACTAGTCACTCCAAGAGTTGCATCTTGAATCTGGTCACTATTGGGCATATGAATAATGTTAGTATAAGGGAGTAGAGTTTGTAGAGGTTTTAGAATCTTTATGGTTTGAATTACGAACTGATCTTGGCTCCTAAATTGTCAGACCATTTTCATTCAAATAGATCGGATAATACCATTTGGCACTACTTTAAATGTTTCACTTAAAAAAATTAATTGTTTCTTTAAACAACAACTCGATCTTATCATTAAACGTTAGTAATATATAGAGTGTTTGAATTCTTAACTTTGTTATCCTATAATGACAAGTCATTATATCCTGTTTTATACTTGCCGTTTATTTCATCCATTCCAAATATTTGATTTTATGATGCACACCTAACAACAACTGGTCATTACATCAATCCATCCATCACACAAAACAAACTAGATAACATTCTTACTCCTTATAAAAACTTTACCCGGTTAAGCTTTTAAATAATTTAATGTTAAATCTATTCGATCCTAAATCATTATCAAGTTAGTCTAGTTACACCACGATATAAGCCTAGAAATTATATGATATTACATTAGATTAGAATATCTAATTACTGGATTAGGATGGAGCTTACAAACTAGTAAGCCTGACAAAAAAGCACTTGATTTAGTCTATATCTCACATGCTTTCTAAACATAGTAGTGAGTAAATGACTCTGAAGACAAAGGCTACAGGGGAGATCAATAAGAATCACGTAAGATTGTTGAAGTCAGTATTCATGAAAATAAGTTCACCAACTTATACTTAGTATACAGAGATAAGTAAGTTGCCGAAATAATTTGTTAGTTGGGAATGGGAACTGTGATTCGGTCTAACATGCTAAGAACTGACGCAAATATCATTATCTGATACAATAAAATGGTACGATACACATTACTATGTTATTAATAGAATATTATAAATGTATAAAATTCCGGTAAATTAGTGTCAAATGCGAGTACAGACTACATCAGAAATATGAACGACTTCTCGTACAGTTTTCGATTATTCACTGTCAAAGTAGTGTTTGTACTCATTAAATCACAAAAGTGATGACTTCTGAAGTAATGATATTGGAATACATTTTTCGAAGTGTAAAATATGATGAAATAAGTCAACTGACGATCATTAAAACGTATACAGGCTGAATTCAATGAAAAAACACACGTCAGTGAAAACACTGATAAATAATTATCAGTATAGGATTGTGAAGATTATTGAGTTCCGCTGAAATCATGAGTCAATCAATGTCAAACCGCTAATGAAGACTTGAAAGCACTGGATGGCCGTTTCGTCCTAGTATAGAACTCCCTAGCAATGGGCATCCATGACCCCCAAACGGGGCTCATACCCAGAACACTCGGTCTAGAGCGCGAATGCTCAACCTTCAGATCACTGGGCCGGCATCCAATGGAGTTGATGTCTAACATCGATCAATGGAAATCGAAGGCCCTGGGTTCGAGCCCCATGCCAGGTGTTGTGTCTGCTTACTGCTGAAGAGTACCATATTAGGAAAAAACGGCCGTCCAATGCTTCTAGGTTTTCAATAGTGGTCTACGATTGATTGAGTCATGATTTCAGTGAAAATAAAGAGTAACATTTTTTAAAATATTTCTTGATAACAGTGATTTAATGGTACAGCTAGATGAATTTATCGTTTATACGAGATAACACAATAATACCAAATATGATATATGATATACAAGATAATCGGTAGAGCACACTAGACTACTATACTAGCCAGATACACGATTCATGACTGACAAGTAGAAACTTAATCACAAAAACAAAACAGTTCGTTTATACACAATGAATTCAGAGTAGGAATCATATTTACAATATCCAAATAGTGACTTATATTATTGATTATGAAATGTTTGTTTATTTTCATTCACTCACAAATCTCAGTTAACTATTACATAACATATCAGACACAGTATCTTAAATTGCACTTAAAGCATAGAATGAAATTGCTGACTAAATTCATTAGAATAATGGAACTATTCATGAACTATTATAATTTATTATCAAATCGACTTTACATTTTAGTCTATTCAATGATGAAATTAATTTCTTCAAACTAATGAATCTCATTACTACATAACATTTCATGGAGTCATATTTACACAGAATTATAAAGTATAATGTAATCTAATGTAAATAATACTAGTGATAATAATAAACTTTAGAATCATCATCGTGAAGGGTAAGAGGCGTAAGTAAGTAAGAGGCGTAAGTAAGTAAGTAAGTAAGTAAGTAAGTAAGTAAGTAAGTAAGTAAGTAAGTAAGTAAGTAAGTAAGTAAGTAAGTAGATGTTGGAATAGTAGAATTATTAATAGTATCAACGATAGCAGGAAAGAGTATTTGTATATTTATTTATTTTAACACATATATATTGGTACAAAGGGGCATCGAATACAAGACTAAGGATACACCATACCAACTAGTGCTAAATAGTCCAAACCAAAGTCCACAGTTTCCTATCAACTGATTCCATCGATTAGGTTTGAATTATATCTTGTTCGAAAGCTTTTAAACGACAAAAAAAAGAAAGATATTTAACTATTTTACTGAACGAAATTGATGCCATTTAATAAATAAATCGAAATTGTGTATATTAACCACTAAATTTCAACTTAATGGTCACTGTATAAACATGAAAATCTTATACTTTATTCTGTTTAAAGTTGTTAGGTGAATGTATCATTATAGGTAGTAAACAATAAAGGAAAATCTCTTTTTAACATCTCGTAATTTTTAAAAGATTATTTACTTGTTCAAGGTGTATCGGAAAAATCGTCTTATATTCACAGTTGAATTCACGAGTCGATCTAAGCTAGATCATCATTGAAAATCTCAAAACATTGAACAGCCGTTTCGTTCTAGTATCAGACTCCTCAGAAGTGCTCGTCCACAATCCCGCATAAATGATGCGAACCCAGGACCTTCGGTCTAACGCGCAGATGCCTAACCTCTAAACCGCTGAGTCGTTATCCAACGGTGTTTGATGTCTAACTCCAATCAATCCATGACCTTCCGCAACCCTTCATTTATCCACAAATTCCTATACTGATTATTTTTATCTTAAAATGGTAGGGTCCTTTGTTTTTCGTGCAATAATAAATTTATTCGATTCATAATTTTTCCATCTTGTAAACATCTGTATCGTCTAAATACAATAAACGTATAAAGTTATTCTATTATTTATCCAAGGATAGAAAATATCCGTAAAATTACAGCTCATCTACTCTTCAATGTTCAGTATGTGTGCAATGTCTAGCATCGTTCTGTCCAATTACTGAGTGATTGCTGCATATAAGAGTATAATTTCTTCTGAGAATTTCACTTCAATCTCCAAATTTCATTATATTATTTTTTTACATTTAACAATTTGGAATGGGCTACAGTAACGTCTTCATAGAAGACATAAATAAATAGTTTTAGGTGACTGAAATTTATTTATTATTTGAATACACAAATATTAGTTCAAAGGGGAGACACAAGTCACTTGATTTGTGTGTGGGCTGTGATACTGCCCGGGTGCCCAGACAAAATCAGGTGGTTTTCGTAGGTGGCCACTTTGACCTAAAAGTCTGATCCACAATGCAGTGGAGCAACGTCTGGAGATGCAGTCCCATTGTAACTGGTCACCAATAATTGGTTCATACTCCATTTGTTCCCTCAGGATATTGGATCCCATGTACACCATTGGTTTGAAACCAGGGTTTTCCAACTCCTCTAGGTGGATCCTCTATATTCATCAACCTGATTAAAGCACCAAACATTCGCTTTTCATCCTCTCGATTTCGTAAACAATAGTAATGGCGTGAGAAGGCAGTGAGTAGGACTTATCTCATAGTATCTGTGTAAAAATTTTAAGAGGGAGAGCTGATTCGCCTTAATCTCAACTGTACTAGTGCATTTAGGGGCCCTCATGTATAATGAAGCTAGTCTATTCAATGATGGCCTTAATTACTTCAAACTAATGAATCTCATTACCACATAACATTTCATGGAATCATATTCACACACAACTATAAAGTATAATGTAATCTAATGTAAATAATAATAATAACGATAATTATAAACTTTATAATCATCTCATATATTGCGTATTATGTAATTTACCATATCACATTTCAGTAATATTATCTGAATTTACTTTTTTTTTCCAATTGAATTCTATACAATTTAATCATTATACATTATGTACACATAATAGTATTATTTACATATTAGAAAAATAGAAAAGAAAAGAAAAGAAAAAACAACACTTGTTACTAAGTAGAAAAAGAAAAAAAAAGAAACACACCAAAAGTTTTGTATAAAAGTCTTCGAAAAAACAATTGAGTTATTGTCATATACTACTTAACTATTCAAAAGAGTATTCAATCATGAATAGATCCGTTTGGACTGTTATAACATGTACAATGTTATTAGTTATTATATGTAATTTTAATACAAGTAAGTAAATACTTTTTATGATGTATTAAGTGTTTTAAATTCATTTGATATTGTTTACTTTTATCTTCTTATTGTTGTTTAGGACTGTAATTGATCAGTTTCTTGTTGGTATATGTACATCTTGTGTAGACTGCCTCGATATTGCCTTAAGTCACAAGCATTATAAACAAAGGTGAACTCAGTAGCTAGGTGAATAACGTGATGTCATTTGAAGCGTACGGTACTGGGTTCAAGTCTTGTAGTGATCATCAACTCTGGGATGCAAGTTTATCTATCTGATGAGTCCTAAGTAGGACGAAATGCGCGTCCTGGATTTCACTGCTAACTACTATTCATTTTTGTTTATTAGGCGTTTTTCTATAAATTTTCTTAATTGTAATTCTGATTGAATTTAAGTAAAAACAATATTCATTGACATGATGGACCATATTAGCGGTTACCATAACTTATCGTGTATATCTATAAAAAGCGAAAATCCTTTGTTAATGATGAATACACTTTATCATAGAAAATAGTGAAATTATAAAAGTAGACCAATGTATTTGACTTAATGATTAAATAATTTAAAGCGTTTTGGGTTACCTGAAAATTGTATGTTCAATCCCTTCTAGAGTTTAGCGTATGTACTACTGGGTAGTAACCAACTTATATATAATATATGTTCAAAGTTCCCTAGCACTCGATAGTTGCACAGATTACGTTAATCCGTGATCCAACCTTGATTTAAACTCAAAAGTGATTGAAAACCTGGAAGCACTGGACGGCCGTTTCGTCCTAGTATGGGGCTCCTCAGCAGTGCTCATCCACGATCCCACAACCCGCGAGATTCGAACCCAGGACCTGTCAGTCTCGCGCCAAGCGCTTAACCAACTAGACGAAACGGCTGTCCAGTGCTTCCAGATTTTCCATGGTGGTCTAGCTTCAATTGACTCATGATTCCAATCTGTGAAATTTCTAAAATCTCCACAGACCCTTTCTGATAAAGTAACAATGTTTGTTAGTGCTGTCTGGCAATCATTAGTTCTCATGTTAACTCTATGTCATAATGAAAAATACCCTTAAATAATATATTTTTCTACAATTTAATTATCACTGATTTATATATAAGTAGTATCTTATATTTCCTATGTAAACTTGTCTAAATGATGAAATTCTTATTTTTAAAAAATATTGTTCGATTTATTGTAAGTGATATTTTTAATACTTTACTCTAGTGAAAGCTGCTCCAGCTAATAAGTAAGTTAAACAGTATAAATTAAGATGTATGGAATTCCAACCTCTTTAAATAGAAGATCCATTTCATGAACTAATGATGATTCTAATTTCAAAAGATTTCCAAACTAAAATGTAGTATGCGTTCATTTTGTATTGTTTGTTTGAATCTTCTCCATTGATGTCTAGAACTGTAATTGATTAGTCACTTATCGATAAATGTGTATTCTGTATGCATTACCTTGATATTACCTTAAATTAAAAGCATTATAAGCAAAGATGGATGGGGTGCAGGTACATGCAGTTGAAGAGTTCCAAGTGCGGACGAAAAGCGCATCCTAGATTCCACTGTTAGTCACCATCCATCTTAAAATGTAGCATGATTAGATAAATGATAAACGTTGTTCTGTTTTACTGTTAAAGTTTCAAGTTCAACATTTACTACATTAAGTAAAATTATTAGGTTGGAAATAAACAATGTTGGGCAATATAGATTTACATGTATTTTATACATGTAACATTGTATTGTTCATTTTCACTGTAATAGATAATTGAGAAATAGCCGGAATATATGATAAGTGAGCGTAATAAGACTGAAGATTGAAATAGTTTTGACTTGATAGAAGGTGGTGAATATCTAGATAAAGTTTAAAAAATAAATGAATTGGTTGGATACAGGGTCATTGTTCTGAAGGTTATGCGTTCGTGAGCGAGACTGTTAGGTCTTGGGTTCGAATCTCGCGGAGCGGGATCGTGGGTGCGGACTTCTGAGGAGTACCATACTAGGACGAAGCGGTCTTCCAGTACTTCCAGGTTTTCCATGGTGGCCTAGCTTTAATTGACTCATGAATTCAATCATTATACGAAACTTTATTATCTCCAGAAGATCAACTGATTTATTATGTATGATTAAACAATAACAAAGTTTACTGTTTCAAAATGTTTTGAAAAAAACAGGGATCAAGTTCTGATTGATGACATAAGGGTTACTTTTTAGTTGCTACTAATTATTGTATGACACATATTCATTTAAAGAAGACGGTTATCTTGTTCATTATGATAAGATGATATATTTTCTACAGATTAGTTTGTGCATATGATCTTATAAATTATATTTTGAAAGGATCTCTATATTTGATCAAGTTGCTCTACTGATGAGTGTCATACGGTACAAACCATTCAGTATCTAATTTATGTCCTGTTTGAAGACTGGATATAATACTAGTTCATTTAATGAAAGGGTCTGTACAAACTCAACGGACATTATTATTTAGCATGGTGTTTGAAACTCAGAGACATGTCAATGAAAGGACAGTATTGATTTGATACTGATAGAAATTGGCATGAAATTGATTTATTGTTATTACATTGAACAGAGATAAGTTATTCAAATATCTTGACTAATTACTGAAAAGGACTCATTTTGCATAACCAATACTAGCTCAACCAATAGGTAAGTCATTGAATATAATGCTAATACTGTGCTAATTATTAATAGGTTTGATTAACACTAGTCATTTGACAGATCTTATGAAGTAATATATTGAGTCTTTCTTAAAATATACAATAATTCAAACTGAGCTGTTTGTAAGACAAGCAGATGGTTTTACAGTATGTGTGATTACAGATACTAATAATCAACTAACCGTGGAGAATTCACGATGTAGTGTCAAGTTGTTTGACTGTTTTTGAAGTTATCACTAGGATTTGAATATTTTCAGATATAAGTGAGAGTTTCGTCTACGACTGGTACTCGCATCAAAATATTTAGTTCTACATCTGTAACATTCTATGAGCTTATCATTCATACAACTGATCAAGTTTCAAAACTGTTTCATTCATAAAAATCAATTAATTTGTTAGGGATTTAATTCTTAATAACCATTAATGTACCATACAAAGTTACATTTTTAATCACAGTGCATGAAAGTCTTCTTGGTATTTTCTCTACTGATACATAAATATCGGGTATGAAGTTTGGTAACAACAAAATTTCGGATAAAAGTTAACTTTTACTTAGAAAAAACTGATGTCGACGGAAGTGTTAGGAATATCCAATAAGAGTTGATCGCAGATAAACCTATATTACTGAGGACTTAAACATGAGTCTAATCTAATTGTTCATTGACTACACCCAACGAGGATCGCTTACTAAGGTAAGTGTACCACAGTCCAGCACAAATGGTTCACCTACACATATATGATTTCAATATACCGCTTTCCATTAAATACATAACCAGAGAGCAAATCTCTCTGGATTATTATGTTGGTTACATAAGATCAGATGATTAAACACCCTGAAGTTTTAGATAGTAAAATCCAATGATCTGTTCAATATATAGTCAAACCAACCAAAGATGCAATATTCGGTTTGAACAGCAGTATCAGAGGAACATGAATGGGATCTATGAAGCTAAAAACAATGGTAACATATACATGGAAAAATGATATATATATACAAAAGGGTGATAGGACTTACAGAAAAAATATTGAAAGGAGAAAAGTTAATTGATAACAAACAATATAGACCATCGAGCTACTAGAAATATAAGGAAAATTAAAACTACAGTTTTCAGGGTTATTTCTTCTTGAAAACATCTAAAACTGTATGGATTAGCAAAAAGCGAATTTTTCGAATTGGGTGTGAGAATACAAGTAAAATTAATAAAAACATGAGATCGAAAAACCGATGAATCTGTGGACAGTAATATACAAAGAAAAATCATGACAAACAAACATACATAATCTATAATCACAATGAAAAAAACAGGAGACGTTTTTGGCGAAGTTTTGTTCTCTGAGCTGGATGGTTTGGTCGTGGAACTTACATAGATCTTCGGAACGACATCATCAGCACAAAATTCAGAGAACAAAACTCCACCAAAATCATCCACCTGAGTTACAAATCTTCTCTACCATCTCAAAACAGGACACTGTATAAAAATTTGATAAACAATATACATAACAAACAAAATTTCAAATGAAGAAGAATTAATGCAATTATGATGATATTATAATAAACAGTACACAAGTCCCAGCTAAAACTACGTAAGTTATTCGAAAATATTTTCTTAGATTGTATAAATATCTGACGATTGTTAATTTGATCACGACACCTAATACATATCTCTCCACTGATATCATTAGTGGGCGTATGACACCGGATGATATTCATTGCAATCCTCTTCTTATTTGTTTCTGGGAGGATACTTCGATGATCATCGATCCATGAGAATCTAGTACTACAAGCGCCTTTCGTGCTTCTTTGCACATCATCAGTGCAACTCCGTGTGTGTCGAAGCCATTTTATTACTGATTACCACATTACTACAGCACCCCTACCTAAGATAATCTCTATTGTTTAGCTTGCTCCCAATATGTTTCACAAATGCCAAATACTGTCACTTTGTATCTTCCGAACTCCACAGATACTTGAATGATCAATCAGATCTCTCACATTGTGCGAACATTGCATGTGCCTATAATAATTGGTGTCCTGGTTGTCAGGAGAGCCATTGTTCTCGTGATTTCTGAACAATCGTAGCTTTCATCATCAAGCTTCGTAACACATACGAGAGAAGACTATTCGACAATTAAGACAGATCTTCAATCGGTTTAAATGATAATTTCTGGTTAGCGTTTGTTTAGCCAGGTTGATTGGAACGGGATCTTGTCACAAGACCCATCTCCAATCCCTATCTTTCATCCGAGCATGGGATTGGGAGTAAGCTTCGAAGTGATCGAAGTGGAGTTGTATTAATAATTGACTGTTGTTGATCTGATCAATATATTTTAATGTGAATTCGTATTCACTTATATGATGCTATTAATATTAACAGTCCTAAAGCTCCAGCACCTACTACGTGAGTTATTCGAAAATATTTTATTACATTGTATAAATATCTGACGATCGGTAACTTGATCACGACACCTAAATACAAATCTGTCCACTGACACGCGATGACACTCATTGCAATCCTCTTCTTATTTATTTCTGGGAGGATACTTCGATGATCATCGATCCATGAGAATCTAGTACTACAAGCGCCTTTCGTGCTTCTTTGCACATCATCAGTGCAACTCCGTGTGTGTCGAAGCCATTTTATTACTGATTACCACATTACTACAGCACCCCTACCTAAGATAATCTCTATTGTTTAGCTTGCTCCCAATGTGTTTCACAAATGACAAGTACTGTCACTTTGTATCTTCCGAATTCCACAGATACTTGAATGATCCATCCGGTCTCTATTGTCAATCGCCAGGTGGCTACTCTAATTTCTACCAATTGACCAGCTTCAGATATCCCAGTTCGACCCCAATACTGTTCCCGATCTCCAATATATCAGAACACGAACCGTAGATGAAAAATTGTTTATGGGCTCAGGAGCCGAATAATGATTTACAAACAAATACATATTTATACAGTTAGGATTACTATAAATATTGACCAACAGAAAGATGACACGTGAAATAATATTGACCAATGGCGAAATGACACGCGAAATAAATATTGATTAGTAGGGAAACGACCAATAGGAAAATGACACCATTTAACGTTCAAGGGTAGCATTAGACTTAACCGGATAATTGTTTTTGAGATATTTTTCTGAATATCCCAACACCTCCCCTTGGAAAAGTTAATAGCGACGTAATCGAGGATTTACTTGAAGTTTCTTTGGGTGTCTTCTTTTGCGATCCGACCTCCGAGGCAACCACACAGAACCAGAAGTATGTTCTACTTGAGTAGATGACTTAGTCGTCTCTGTTGGAGGTATTGGCGGAAGTTGAAGCGTGTCCAGCAGCAAGTCGAGTGGAACGCTTTTTGTAATTGCTTCTTTCTCCTTCGCTTCCCTTGGCCGGACTTGATTGTGGTGCCTGGTCCAGATTTCTTGGTTCACTTTGACATCATACATGACGTCCCCATGTTTCTTTGTGATTTCACCCTCTACCCATCTATCACATCCGTGTCTATAATCTCGCGCATACACTTTTGTACCAACTTCGTGGGGAATTCGAGTATTCTTCATCTGGGGGTTTTGTTGCGCCACTTGTTTAGGTTTCATCGCACAATGAACTGTCCGTAGCTTTCGCCCCATAAGCATCTCAGTAGGGGATTTGGAGTTTGGCAATAAGTCATGCGGGGTCATCCGGTACGCAACTAGGAATCGTTCTATGATATCTTCTGTGGTCCCCTCCCCTCGTGCTTTAAGCATGGCTTGCTTAAATGTATCAACGAACTTTTCAGCTTGCCCATTAGATTGCGGGTGATATGGCGGAGAACGGACATGTTTGGTTGAATTTTGCAGGCTAAATTCTCGGAATTGGCTAGATGCGAATTGTGAACCATTGTCTGTTACTATTGTTTCTGGAAGACCATGCTGAGCGAAGATCCGATTAAGGATTTTGATGGTTCGAGTTGTAGAGGGTGGCGAAATTGGCAATATCTTCGGCCATTTGGAGTAGGAGTCAACCAGTATCAGATATGTGGTACCATCTAGGGGTCCGATGAAGTCAATATGCACTCGCGACCAGGGTTTTTCTGACTTGGGCCAGGGTACTGGAGGCAACTTAGGAGGATTTTTCGCAGCCCTTTGACAATGCGAGCATCTTTTGACGAAGTCGACAATCTGCTTGTCCATATTCGGCCAATATGCATAACTGCGAGCGATGGATTTCATACGGTTTATCCCTGGGTGTCCAGAGTGGAATTGGTGTAGGATCTTGGAACGTAGGGTTGTTGGAATTACTACGCAATCACCGGACATTAGACAATCGTTAACAATACAGAGAGCGCTGCGACGATTCGCTAGCTGTTGCATATCACCACTCAGGTGCTTAACTGGCCATCTACTCTGAACATAGGTGATCGCTTTTTGGATAATCGGGTCCTCTCTGGTAGCTTCCCGAACATCTTCAGCGGTAACAGGCATTGCTCGAATGGCATTCGCTAATACAGTAGCACCAGAATCCTCTTCGATTGATACTATGGCTATGAGTGTGTCCTCATCAGTGGTAGAATCGTTACAGATAAGTCTGGACAGTGCATCCGCTTGACCAAAATCTTCGGAACGTCGATACTGGATGTCGAAGTCGTACCCCAATAACGCCAACGCCCAACGTTGAAGACGATTAGCAGAATGGATAGGAATGCCTTTTTTTGATCCAAAGATTGATAACAAAGGCTTGTGGTCTGTGAGCAAAGTGAAACGGCGCCCGTAAATGAATTTGTGGAATCGCCGAACAGCAAAAATTAGGGCTAACGCTTCCTTCTCTATCTGGCCGTAGTGTTTCTCAGCAGGTGTTAGTATTCTCGAAGCATGCATCACCGCTTTCTCTGACCCATCGGGAAAGACATGTGAGAGTACGGCACCCAGTCCATGTGTTGAAGCGTCAACAGCAACCACAATGTGTAGTTTCGGATTGTAGTGGGCTAGCAGAAGATTGGAACTTAGCGTGGCTTTAAGTTTTGAAAAGGCTGACTCACATTGCGGTGACCAATTCCAAGTAGCATTCTTTTCTAGCAGACGATTCAGTGGATATCATACGTCGTGCAGTGATGGAAGAAATGCTGAATTGTAGCTAATCATTCCCTAAAATGATCGCAGTGAGGAGACATCAGTGGGAGCAGGCATTTGTTGGATTGTGTAAGTATTTTGAGGATCAGGATGTCGTCCGGAAGCATCAAAAATGAACCCCAGGTACTTAACGAAACGTAAGAAGAAATGGCATTTTTCTGGGCGAAGGCGGAAACCATTATCCTGGAGGCGTTGCAGAACTAAGTGAGTTCTGGTATTCAATTCATCAGCAGTTGAGCCGACAATGAGGACACCGTCAAGGTACGTAGCAACACAAGGAACATCTGCTAGAATAGTGTCCATGATCTGCTGAAAGATCGCTGGAGCAGTTTTGATACCAAAGGGTAACCGGGTATACTGAAAAAGTCCTCGGTGAGTGTTGATTGTCAACAACTCTCTTGATTCGAGAGCGACTGTAATTTGAAGGTAAGCATCTGCCAGATCCAGCTTAGCAAAATAGGTACTACCATTTAAAATAGTAAATAAGTCATCTGGGATCGGCAGCGGATAGTGATGCTGTTGTAGAGCCGCGTTGAGTCCTGTGGAAAAGTCTGCACAGATGCGTATGGAACCATTGGATCTTTTTACAACCACAATTGGTGCAGCCCAAGATGAATAAGAAACAGGTACTAGAACACCCTCAGTTTCCAAACGTTGAAGTTCAGCGTCAACCAGAGGTAAAGATGCGTATGACACTGGACGCTTTGGGCGAAAAACTGGCGTAGCTTCTGACTTCAGTCTTAAAACAGCTTCAGTTGTGGTACAAAGTATGAGACCAGACTGAAATAGTTCAATAAATCGTTTTCGAAGGTCTTCACCATGCTGTTGTGTAGCGGCAGTAGTTTGGACTTGATTGCAGATAGCGTTAATAGGAAGATCAGCGAGACCAAGTTCTTCGAACCAATCTAAGCCTAAAAGATTGAGCGGGGAATTGTTGATGTAGCATGTCTCATTGAAGGTTGTACCTCTGAATGAAATGCAGCAACAGAGTTCACCATGAAGGCGGAGATAACCCCCACAGGCACTGACGGCTGTCTGAGAGAATGGTTTGATCGGAGGTTGGCCCAAGGTTCGCCAAGTCTTTTTCGACAGAATGGTGATATCTGATGCAGTGTCCAACTGCAAGCGAACTGGCTGACCATTGACTGAGAGGGTCAGATATTTGCGTCGAGTCGCGGCATGAGTATGGAAGTCTGCTGCTAAACTCCTTGATGAGGTAATCGGCTTTTTGTGAAAATGACGCTGCGTCTGTGCATTTCGACGGTTATTGGATCGGTTGGATTTTCAAAAGCCGCTTTTGTGACCAACTTTCTGACAGCGATCGCGCACATGTTGTTTGAATGGACAAAACTTCACATAATGCCAGGCCCCACAGTGCCAACATGGAGAGAGGGGCTTCTTCTGAGCCGGTTTAGAGTGATTAGAGACAGAAACAGCGCTGTCGTCAATTTCGAAGATTCTTTTTGGTGCTGAACAGCATGAACTTCGGAACCACCCTGGCCACCAGATTGAACCAAAGTGGTGTCACGCTGCAGATTGATTATGCGCTGGTACTCGTCTATGATCGCATTGAGAGTCAGTGTTGGATCTTGTTCAAGGCGGTTAAGCAAACGAGTTCTGATGTCGGAGAATTTGGGTGACTGAAGACTGCATATGAGTATTAGGGACTTGAATTGGTCTTCAGTGAGGGATCTGAGCTTGAACCGTTCGCACTCACGGTTAACAATGCCGACGTGGGTCAGGAAGTCATCGGACTCATTCATGATCAGTTTTAAGCAGCGATATCGAGTACTGAAGAGTGAGTGATGATCACCAAAAAGTTGGCTAAGGGACTGAATAGTGGCGTCGAATGAACGGTCGTGGGTTCTGCGGTAGAACAAAGTTGCAATACTTACCAGCTCTGATGGACCAAGTTTACGAGGAAGGAGACGCACCATCCACGAATCATCTCTATCAGCAAAGTCAACTTTGAAAAGGTCTTCATAACGTCTGAACCAGGTATCAAATGTAATGTTGGCATCAGGATCATAAAGAAATTCTGAAATACCACTGGTAATACCATCAACTGATTCAGGAATTGTCGGTGTAGTTGGAACTCGAAAAGATATGTGCGTGTGAGCAATCATCTCCATCAGCTTCAACTGCTGTTCGAACAAATTTTCTAATTTGGCTGAATCCATAGTTAATCACCAACTTCTTTGCTAAATCTCCGTCGCCAAATTATTGTGAATCGCAAGGTGGCTACTCTAATTTCTACCAATTGACCAGCTTCAGATATCCCAGTTCGACCCCAATACTGTTCCCAATCTCCAATATATCAGAACACGAACCGTAGATGAAAAATTGTTTATGGGCTCAGGAGCCGAATAATGATTTACAAACAAATACATATTTATACAGTTAGGATTACTATAAATATTGACCAACAGAAAGATGACACGTGAAATAATATTGACCAATGGCGAAATGACACGCGAAATAAATATTGATTAGTAGGGAAACGACCAATAGGAAAATGACACCATTTAACGTTCAAGGGTAGCATTAGACTTAACCGGATAATTGTTTTTGAGATATTTTTCTGAATATCCTAACAGTCTCCCACATTGTGCGAACATTGCATATACTTATAATAATTAGTGTCCTGGTCACAAGACCCATCTTCAATCCTTATCTCTCATCCGACCATGGGATTGGGAGTAAGCTTAGAAGTGATCTAGGTAGAGTTGTATCAATGGTTGACTGTTGTTGATCTGACCAAAATACTTGAATGTGAATTCTTATCCACATATATGATGCTATTAATATTAACAGTCCTAAAGCTCCAGCACCTACTACGTGAGTTATTCGAAAATATTTTATTACATTGTATAAATATCTGACGATCGGCAACTTGATCACGACACCTATATACAAATCTGTCCACTGACACCCGATGATACTCATTGCAATCCTCTTCTTATTTATTTCTGGGAGGATGTTTCAATGGTCCTCGATCCATGAGAATCTCATACTACAAGCGTCTTTCGTGCTTCTTTGCACATCATCAGTGCAACTCCTTGTGTGTCGAAAGCATTTTATTTCTGATGACCAGATTACTACAACACCCCCAACCGAAGATAATCTCTATTGTTTACATTGCTTCCAATGTGTTTCACAAATGCCAAGTACTGTCACTTTGTATCTTCCGAATTCCACAGATACTTGAGTGATCCATCCGGTCTCCCACATTGTGCGAACATTGCATGTGCCTATAATAATTGGTCTCCTGGTTGTCAGGAGAGTCATTGATCTCGTGATTTCTGAACAATCGTAGCTTTCATCATCAAGCATCGTAACACATACGAGAGAAGACTGTTCGACACTTAAGACAGAGCTTCAATCGGTTTAAATGATAATTTCTGGTTAGCGTTTGTTTAGCCAGGTTGATTGGTACGGGATGTTGTCACAAGACTCATCCCCAATCCTTATCTCTCATCCGACCATGGGATTGGGTATAAGCTTAGAAATGATCGAGGTAGAGTTGTATCAATGATTGAATGTTGTTGATCTGATCAAAATACTTGAATGTGAATTCTTATCCACATATATGATGCTATTAATATTAACAGTCCTAAACCAGCAGCACCTCCTGCGTAAGTTATTCGAAATTTTTTTCTTAGATTGTATAAATATCTGACGGTTGATTAGTTGCGCTTGATTTCTTACCGGAAATATTTCATTAGAGATTTACTTTTGCTATTCACGTCTTTGATAAACCTTCTTCACCTGTTAAGTATATTTTTTGTTTATCGAATTCCTGATATTCTTTAATTTTGATAATCTTATAATAAATCATCGGAATTAACTTTGCAACTGAATTATCGCACTCACTTAATCCATTTATTTTAAAATTATACAAGAATAAACGAATAACATATGAGGAGTTTCAAACCTTTTAATATTCTTCATGCATGAGGTAATATAATAGGAGATAAATGGGTTCGCTTGTCATGCTTCAATCTACTGGTTCATAATCGATCTACAATATTGAATTGTATTAATCTTATTGGTTTTAATTGGACTTGAATTATAATATTTTTGTTGAGAACTGTGTGTATTAGTTTGGTTTTCTTAGTGTAAAATGACTAATATATTGCTGATTAGTTGTTCGTCTTCTGATATCTAGTCATTGTAGGTTTAGGTTAATTGTTGAAATTAGACTATATGTTCGATCGTTCATCCAATAATTTGATACGGCTTGATCTACATTACATAATGATATCCAAATACCAATTTCTAATTAGATTTATGATTATACTATACTTGACAGCGCCAAACCTCAACCACATCCAACGTAAGTTGTTTGTATTAAACCATTCTACTGTTTCGTTTGGTCTGTTTTTGTGAAAGTTTTGAAATCGCCTCTATTGAACCAATTACATTGTTCAGTTTTCAATGCTTACTAAGTATGCCATCAATGCGAGGAAAAGTTATCGTGTCAATTTCTATGTTTAGCCCACATAACTTATTCTAGCTTCTGGACAGGCCAATTTATCCATTCTTCTTGAGTCACGTTCTGATCTTGTTAATTATTCACTCATGAACCTTGACTGTTTTTATGTGATCGTGTGTGTACACTTTTCTTCCTATTCATCACATGTCTGTAACTTGTTTTTATGTGACCATAAATATTTGTTAACGCTTGATCGAAATGTGGTTGGTTCACACGCTTTCTCCAACACTCGTCATTTCGCTTCGCTCTCTTCTACTCGCTCCATACATCTGATCGTCTTTCCAGATCAGTAGGTGTACAAAATATACGTATTTAAACATCCATTATCGTATTTGACTTATTTAATCCCGTTATTCACTAATGCGATTTAAGTCGATAATTACATACGGGGATTGACGATATGTATATTTCAATAACAATCAACAATCAATCATACGGTCTTATTGGAGTTAGATCTCGGGCCAAAAAATGGCAAACCAATAACAGATCGGACACTATTTTGTGTGCTCGTTCATTTTATGTATACTTCAGTAGAGTATAACTGATATTAGTCACCGAAAAGTTTTGTATAAATCAACTATCTCACTAACCAATAATCTAAATCTTCTGTCAAAAGCTTTGTATGATTGAATGATGAATTCTACGAACATTTGGAAAATGAAGGTGATTCAAACAATGGTTTATTTACATAGGTGGGAAGTACATATTGCGTTTGAAAGAGATTGAGGCGACTTATAACTCAGGTGGATGCTTTCGATGTTATTTTGTTTTCTGAGTTGAGTGATTCATTTCCGAAGCTATTTTGTCATCCCAAACAACATCATTAGTGCCTACGTCAAAGGTGGGTTTTTCAGCTATTCCATAGGCTTTTAAGAAGTTGGTCTTGATAGACTTATTCATGATTCATCGACTAAAGATTTTGTGAACACGAGAATAATGTTATTATAGAAAACGTAATAGATGGCCAAATTGACAAAGGTTATATTCTGCAGAACTCAGCCTATAACTCTTCTGAAGCCAATGCCGGTCCCAAACTTGGGTAAAGGAGGAGAGTTGAACGTGTGGTCAGCAAACCCATCCTGTAAAGAAAAATCTTGCTAAAAAGCGCCGACCAGTTCAATTAAATTAAGCCATTTAAACTCTGCCCTAGGAGATGGAGGAAGAATTACTTTGTCTCATGGTGAAAGCCGAGATTCTTCAGAAGTCACGAAGTCAATGCCTCTTCTAACAACCAGAGCAATAATTTTCATAGGTACATGGAACGTCCGGACAATGTGGAAAACCAAGGAGACCAGTGAAGTAGCAACGAAAATGGGGAGATACAACGTTGCGGTACTCGGAATCAGCGAAACTTATTGAACCGAAGCTGGACAGCAAAGGCTAGATACGGGAGAGATGCTGCTGTACTCTAGTTATGAAGAAGAAAATGCTCCATACAGTCAGGCAGTTGCTTTGATGCTGTCCATAGAAGCACGAAATGAACTTATTGAGTGAGAACATCATGGATTCAGAATCATCAAAGCATCATTCAATGCAAAGAAGGAGGGAATCACAATACATGTTAAGCACTGTTATGCACCAACAAATGATAGCAGTGACGACGATAAAAATCGGTTTTTCCAGTGGCTGCAATCGATCATAGCTATACTCAGGACAGGACCTCACCATCCTGGTGAGAGATTTAAACTTCAACGTCGGAATGGACAACAACGGTCAGGAAGATATCATGGGACGACATGGACTGCGAGAAAGGAATGAAACTGGGGAGGGATTTGCAAACCTATGTGCATTCAACAAATTGCTTATCGGTGGTACAATATTTCCATACAAACTCATACACAAAGCCATATGGGTCTCACCGGATCACATCACGAGGAATCAGAGAGATCATAGTTGCATCACTAAAAAATTCAGGAGGAAAATACGTGTGAGAACAAAGGGAGGAGCTGGCATGGCTTCAGATCACCACCTGGTTGTTTCCAAGATCAAACTGTACTTGAAGAAACACTGAACAACTTGGTAAACAGCATTACAAAGGTTCAAAACAGCCTTCCTTCGAGATGATGACAAACTCAACCAATTTAAGATAACTCTCAACAATAGGTCCCATGCATTTGAAGATCTACTGAAAGAAGAAATTACTATGGAGGACAACTGGAAACGTATCAAAGAAGCGTCAACTTCAACGTGTCGGGTGGTAGTGGGCCGCAAATAGTATCATCATAAGGAATGGATGTCCATTGAAATCGTGAGAAAGATTCAAGAAAAGAAGAAGACAGCAATTCATGGCAATCAAACAAGAACAGAGAAAGTCATGACACTAGTTGAATACATTGAAGCAGACAGGCAAGTGAAGGGGAGCATTAGAGCCAATAAGCAGAAATACATGGAAGAGCTAGCGACGTCGGAGTATGAAGCTGCAAGAGAAGGAAATATAAGGCAGATTTATGACACAACGAAGAAACCAGTATGGAAATATAGTAAACTAGAGAGACCGTTCAGAGACAAGGAAGGCATGACAATCACTGTGATTCAAGAACAAATGGAAAGATGGGCAGAACACTTCTAGAAACTCTTGAAAAGACCAGCTCATTTGAGTCCACCGGTTATTGGAACAGCACCTAAAGACCTCCATATAGATCTCACTCCACCAACGACGGAAGAACTCAGTACGGTCAAGAGCGGAAAAGCAGCAGGACCTGACAATATACCAACTGATTCACTGAAGTCAGATATAGAAGCAACTGCAATTATGCTTGACGTTCTATTCAGGAAGATTTGAGAGGAGAAACAAATGCCGACAGACTGGAAAGAAGGATACCTCATCAAGATACCAATGAATGAAGATTTGAGAAATTTGTGAGGACTACATAGGCATCACATTACTGTCAGTACCGGGGAAAGTTTTCTATAGAGTGTTGTTAGACCAGATAAAAGGTTGCATGAAATTAATTTAGCAGTAAGAATCACTCGTAACAGTTTGTTGATTAACTGGATGAGAGATTCAGTAGATGCTCAGCTATGAGATCAACATACTGGATTCCATAAGGATCGTTCGTGCACAAACCAAATCTCGACAATACGGATAATCGTCAAACAGTCAGTTGAGTGGAAGTCGTCACTATACATCAACTTCCTTGACTATGGGAAGGCGTTTGACAGTGTGAATAGGAGAACCTTACACAAACTTCTTCGACAATATGGTAAACCTGAGAAGACCGCCAACACCACACGGAGTTCATACAACGAACTACACTGCAAAGTCGAGCATAGAGGAAAAATGATAGACACATTCCAAGTGAGGGCCGGAGTCAGACAAGGCTGCTTATTTTCCCCTTCCTCTTTCTTTTCGTGGTCGACTGGGTCATGGAAACCTCGACGTTTAAAGGGAAGCACAGAATCAATTAGAAGATTTGGACTTCTCAGATGACCTGGCTATTCCATCCAATACAAATGAATAAATACCGATGAGGACAACCCGTTTAGCAGCAGCCTATGAATCAGTAGGCCTCAGTACACACAAACGTAAAAGCAAGATCCTTAAACACAACACAGACAACATCAACCTAGTCACATTTGATAGAGAAGCTCTTGAAGATGTAGAATCTTCCGCATACCTGTGATGCATCATCGATGAACAAGGAGGATCGGATGCAGACGTAAAGCCAAGGATTGGTAAAGCAAGGACATCATTCCTACAGTTGAAGAACATATGGAACACAAAACAACTGTCAACCAATATCAAAGTGATAATCTTCAATACGGACGCCAAGACACTTCAACTGTACGGAGCTGAAACGTGAAGAACCACTGAAAAAATAATCAAGGAGGTACAACTATTTTTAAATAGTTGTCTAGGTAAGATACACAATATCCGTTGGTCGGATACCATCAGTAATAGCCTACTGTGGGAGAGACCAAACCAACTTCCAGCTGATGAGTAAATCAGGGAAAGACGTTGGAAGTGGATAGAACATATATTGAGGAAATCACCAACCTGCATCACGAGGCAAGCTCTAACTCGGAATCCTGAAAAAAAGTGATAAAGGACAAGGTCAGCGAACACACTGCGTTGAGAACTGGAAGCAGACATGAAAAGGATGAATAACAACTGGAATCAACTGTAAGTGACTGCATAGGACAGAGTTGGATGGAGAATGCTGGTGGGCGGCCTATGCTCCCTCACGAGGAGTAACAGGCGTAAGCAAATAAGTAATTATATACTTCAGGCTTCGATGAACCATTTAAAAAACTGTCACTTGTAATTACAATCAGAAGCGAAAAGCTCTTTTGAGGTCGTTAAAACATAAACATCTTATAGATATGTACTGGAGATGCCACAGATATTTGGGGTTTGACAACGCTTTAACCACTAGTTATTCAATCAGTGAACAATGAATGTCAATTTTGTAAAATCAAAACTATCCATAATAAAAGCAGTTTAGTAAACAAAATATGCATTTTAATTCCAAATTTCCAACACAATCATTCCATTCCATTTTACGGATAAAAAGACACGTTTTTATCAGTATAGGAGTCGTAGAGATTATCGAATGTTATCCAGATCACAAATTGGTCGAAGTTAGACAATCATTAAGAACCTGGAAACACTGAAAAATCATCTCACCTGAATACGGAATTACTTCACATTGCTCACTCAAAACACACCACCTGAATTGAACCCAGAGTCTATTATTTCACGCGTGGATAATTACAGAGCCGAAACCCTAATTCATTGACACAATAAAGTCATATGGAATAGATTCGATCATTTAGATATGTTTTCGTCAGATGTCAGTTAAATAATATAAACCAAATATAATTTCCTATTAAAGTTAATGAATTTTATAATCCTAAACAGATCGAAACCTGCAGGTCCTCCGTAAGTAACCGTTATATATTAAGTGTTTGGAGTTAATATTTGAGTTTTTCAACCTTGATTATGTACGTGAGTATTGAAATCTATAACATTTATGATGCTGTCAATTCAACAGTGCTAAAAATGGGCCACCCAGTCCGTAAGTTTTTAAAATATATTTTCGTAATCTGTATATATACATATATATGACGAATAATCATTCGACCATGACACATGAATACAGATGTTTCCAATGTGATTCTCGTCCTAGAAACGATTGTTAATTTGATCACGTCACCTAAATACAAATCTGTCCACTGACACCCGATGATACTCATTGCAATCCTCTTCTTATTTATTTCTGGGAGGATGTTTCAATGGTCCTCGATCCATGAGAATCTCATACTACAAGCGCCTTTCGTGCTTCTTTGCACATCATCAGTGCAACTCCGTGTGTGTCGACAGCATTTTATTTCTGATGACCAGATTACTACAACACCCCCAACCGAAGATAATCTCTATTGTTTACATTGCTTCCAATGTGTTTCACAAATGCCAAGTACTGTCACTTTGTATCTTCCGAATTCCACAGATACTTGAGTGATCCATCCGGTCTCCCACATTGTGCGAACATTGCATGTGCCTATAATAATTGGTCTCCTGGTTGTCAGGAGAGTCATTGATCTCGTGATTTCTGAACAATCGTAGCTTTCATCATCAAGCATCGTAACACATACGAGAGAAGACTGTTCGACACTTAAGACAGAGCTTCAATCGGTTTAAATGATAATTTCTGGTTAGCGTTTGTTTAGCCAGGTTGATTGGTACGGGATGTTGTCACAAGACTCATCCCCAATCCTTATCTCTCATCCGACCATGGGATTGGGTATAAGCTTAGAAATGATCGAGGTAGAGTTGTATCAATGATTGAATGTTGTTGATCTGATCAAAATACTTGAATGTGAATTCTTATCCACATATATGATGCTATTAATATTAACAGTCCTAAACCAGCAGCACCTCCTGCGTAAGTTATTCGAAATTTTTTTCTTAGATTGTATAAATATCTGACGGTTGATTAGTTGCGCTTGATTTCTTACCGGAAATATTTCATTAGAGATTTACTTTTGCTATTCACGTCTTTGATAAACCTTCTTCACCTGTTAAGTATATTTTTTGTTTATCGAATTCCTGATATTCTTTAATTTTGATAATCTTATAATAAATCATCGGAATTAACTTTGCAACTGAATTATCGCACTCACTTAATCCATTTATTTTAAAATTATACAAGAATAAACGAATAACATATGAGGAGTTTCAAACCTTTTAATATTCTTCATGCATGAGGTAATATAATAGGAGATAAATGGGTTCGCTTGTCATGCTTCAATCTACTGGTTCATAATCGATCTACAATATTGAATTGTATTAATCTTATTGGTTTTAATTGGACTTGAATTATAATATTTTTGTTGAGAACTGTGTGTATTAGTTTGGTTTTCTTAGTGTAAAATGACTAATATATTGCTGATTAGTTGTTCGTCTTCTGATATCTAGTCATTGTAGGTTTAGGTTAATTGTTGAAATTAGACTATATGTTCGATCGTTCATCCAATAATTTGATACGGCTTGATCTACATTACATAATGATATCCAAATACCAATTTCTAATTAGATTTATGATTATACTATACTTGACAGCGCCAAACCTCAACCACATCCAACGTAAGTTGTTTGTATTAAACCATTCTACTGTTTCGTTTGGTCTGTTTTTGTGAAAGTTTTGAAATCGCCTCTATTGAACCAATTACATTGTTCAGTTTTCAATGCTTACTAAGTATGCCATCAATGCGAGGAAAAGTTATCGTGTCAATTTCTATGTTTAGCCCACATAACTTATTCTAGCTTCTGGACAGGCCAATTTATCCATTCTTCTTGAGTCACGTTCTGATCTTGTTAATTATTCACTCATGAACCTTGACTGTTTTTATGTGATCGTGTGTGTACACTTTTCTTCCTATTCATCACATGTCTGTAACTTGTTTTTATGTGACCATAAATATTTGTTAACGCTTGATCGAAATGTGGTTGGTTCACACGCTTTCTCCAACACTCGTCATTTCGCTTCGCTCTCTTCTACTCGCTCCATACATCTGATCGTCTTTCCAGATCAGTAGGTGTACAAAATATACGTATTTAAACATCCATTATCGTATTTGACTTATTTAATCCCGTTATTCACTAATGCGATTTAAGTCGATAATTACATACGGGGATTGACGATATGTATATTTCAATAACAATCAACAATCAATCATACGGTCTTATTGGAGTTAGATCTCGGGCCAAAAAATGGCAAACCAATAACAGATCGGACACTATTTTGTGTGCTCGTTCATTTTATGTATACTTCAGTAGAGTATAACTGATATTAGTCACCGAAAAGTTTTGTATAAATCAACTATCTCACTAACCAATAATCTAAATCTTCTGTCAAAAGCTTTGTATGATTGAATGATGAATTCTACGAACATTTGGAAAATGAAGGTGATTCAAACAATGGTTTATTTACATAGGTGGGAAGTACATATTGCGTTTGAAAGAGATTGAGGCGACTTATAACTCAGGTGGATGCTTTCGATGTTATTTTGTTTTCTGAGTTGAGTGATTCATTTCCGAAGCTATTTTGTCATCCCAAACAACATCATTAGTGCCTACGTCAAAGGTGGGTTTTTCAGCTATTCCATAGGCTTTTAAGAAGTTGGTCTTGATAGACTTATTCATGATTCATCGACTAAAGATTTTGTGAACACGAGAATAATGTTATTATAGAAAACGTAATAGATGGCCAAATTGACAAAGGTTATATTCTGCAGAACTCAGCCTATAACTCTTCTGAAGCCAATGCCGGTCCCAAACTTGGGTAAAGGAGGAGAGTTGAACGTGTGGTCAGCAAACCCATCCTGTAAAGAAAAATCTTGCTAAAAAGCGCCGACCAGTTCAATTAAATTAAGCCATTTAAACTCTGCCCTAGGAGATGGAGGAAGAATTACTTTGTCTCATGGTGAAAGCCGAGATTCTTCAGAAGTCACGAAGTCAATGCCTCTTCTAACAACCAGAGCAATAATTTTCATAGGTACATGGAACGTCCGGACAATGTGGAAAACCAAGGAGACCAGTGAAGTAGCAACGAAAATGGGGAGATACAACGTTGCGGTACTCGGAATCAGCGAAACTTATTGAACCGAAGCTGGACAGCAAAGGCTAGATACGGGAGAGATGCTGCTGTACTCTAGTTATGAAGAAGAAAATGCTCCATACAGTCAGGCAGTTGCTTTGATGCTGTCCATAGAAGCACGAAATGCACTTATTGAGTGAGAACATCATGGATTCAGAATCATCAAAGCATCATTCAATGCAAAGAAGGAGGGAATCACAATACATGTTAAGCACTGTTATGCACCAACAAATGATAGCAGTGACGACGATAAAAATCGGTTTTTCCAGTGGCTGCAATCGATCATAGCTATACTCAGGACAGGACCTCACCATCCTGGTGAGAGATTTAAACTTCAACGTCGGAATGGACAACAACGGTCAGGAAGATATCATGGGACGACATGGACTGCGAGAAAGAAATGAAACTGGGGAGGGATTTGCAAACCTATGTGCATTCAACAAATTGCTTATCGGTGGTACAATATTTCCATACAAACTCATACACAAAGCCATATGGGTCTCACCGGATCACATCACGAGGAATCAGAGAGATCATAGTTGCATCACTAAAAAATTCAGGAGGAAAATACGTGTGAGAACAAAGGGAGGAGCTGGCATGGCTTCAGATCACCACCTGGTTGTTTCCAAGATCAAACTGTACTTGAAGAAACACTGAACAACTTGGTAAACAGCATTACAAAGGTTCAAAACAGCCTTCCTTCGAGATGATGACAAACTCAACCAATTTAAGATAACTCTCAACAATAGGTCCCATGCATTTGAAGATCTACTGAAAGAAGAAATTACTATGGAGGACAACTGGAAACGTATCAAAGAAGCGTCAACTTCAACGTGTCGGGTGGTAGTGGGCCGCAAATAGTATCATCATAAGGAATGGATGTCCATTGAAATCGTGAGAAAGATTCAAGAAAAGAAGAAGACAGCAATTCATGGCAATCAAACAAGAACAGAGAAAGTCATGACACTAGTTGAATACATTGAAGCAGACAGGCAAGTGAAGGGGAGCATTAGAGCCAATAAGCAGAAATACATGGAAGAGCTAGCGACGTCGGAGTATGAAGCTGCAAGAGAAGGAAATATAAGGCAGATTTATGACACAACGAAGAAACCAGTATGGAAATATAGTAAACTAGAGAGACCGTTCAGAGACAAGGAAGGCATGACAATCACTGTGATTCAAGAACAAATGGAAAGATGGGCAGAACACTTCTAGAAACTCTTGAAAAGACCAGCTCATTTGAGTCCACCGGTTATTGGAACAGCACCTACAGACCTCCATATAGATCTCACTCTACCAACGACGGAAGAACTCAGTACGGCCAAGAACGGGAAAGCAGCAGGACCTGATAATATACCAACTGATTCACTGAAGTCAGATATAGAAGCAACTGCAATTATGCCTGACGTTCTATTCAGGAAGATTTGAGAGGAGAAACAAATGCCGACAGACTGGAAAGAAGGATACCTCATCAAGATACCAATGAATGAAGATCTGAGAAATTTGTGAGGACTACATAGGCATCACATTACTGTCAGTACCGGGGAAAGTTTTCTATAGAGTGTTGTTAGACCAGATAAAAGGTTGCATGAAATTAATTTAGCAGTAAGAATCACTCGTAACAGTTTGTTGATTAACTGGATGAGAGATTCAGTAGATGCTCAGCTATGAGATCAACATACTGGATTCCATAAGGATCGTTCGTGCACAAACCAAATCTCGACAATACGGATAATCGTCAAACAGTCAGTTGAGTGGAAGTCGTCACTATACATCAACTTCCTTGACTATGGGAAGGCGTTTGACAGTGTGAATAGGAGAACCTTACACAAACTTCTTCGACAATATGGTAAACCTGAGAAGACCGCCAACACCACACGGAGTTCATACAACGAACTACACTGCAAAGTCGAGCATAGAGGAAAAATGATAGACACATTCCAAGTGAGGGCCGGAGTCAGACAAGGCTGCTTATTTTCCCCTTCCTCTTTCTTTTCGTGGTCGACTGGGTCATGGAAACCTCGACGTTTAAAGGGAAGCACAGAATCAATTAGAAGATTTGGACTTCTCAGATGACCTGGCTATTCCATCCAATACAAATGAATAAATACCGATGAGGACAACCCGTTTAGCAGCAGCCTATGAATCAGTAGGCCTCAGTACACACAAACGTAAAAGCAAGATCCTTAAACACAACACAGACAACATCAACCTAGTCACATTTGATAGAGAAGCTCTTGAAGATGTAGAATCTTCCGCATACCTGTGATGCATCATCGATGAACAAGGAGGATCGGATGCAGACGTAAAGCCAAGGATTGGTAAAGCAAGGACATCATTCCTACAGTTGAAGAACATATGGAACACAAAACAACTGTCAACCAATATCAAAGTGATAATCTTCAATACGGACGCCAAGACACTTCAACTGTACGGAGCTGAAACGTGAAGAATCATTGAAACAATAATCAAGGAGGTACATCTATTTTTAAATAGTCGTCTAGGTAAGATACACAATATCCGTTGGTCGGATAACATCAGTAATAGTCTACTGTGGGAGAGACCAAACCAACTTCCAGCTGATGAGTAAATCAGGGAAAGACGTTGGAAGTGGATAGAACATATATTGAGGAAATCACCAACCTGCATCACGAGGCAAGCTCTAACTCGGAATCCTGAAAAAAGTGAAAAAGGACAAGGTCAGCGAACACACTGCGTTGAGAACTGGAAGCAGACATGAAAAGGATGAATAACAACTGGAATCAACTGTAAGTGACTGCATAGGACAGAGTTGGATGGAGAATGCTGGTGGGCGGCCTATGCTCCCTCACGAGGAGTAACAGGCGTAAGCAAATAAGTAATTATATACTTCAGGCTTCGATGAACCATTTAAAAAACTGTCACTTGTAATTACAATCAGAAGCGAAAAGCTCTTTTGAGGTCGTTAAAACATAAACATCTTATAGATATGTACTGGAGATGCCACAGATATTTGGGGTTTGACAACGCTTTAACCACTAGTTATTCAATCAGTGAACAATGAATGTCAATTTTGTAAAATCAAAACTATCCATAATAAAAGCAGTTTAGTAAACAAAATATGCATTTTAATTCCAAATTTCCAACACAATCATTCCATTCCATTTTACGGATAAAAAGACACGTTTTTATCAGTATAGGAGTCGTAGAGATTATCGAATGTTATCCAGATCACAAATTGGTCGAAGTTAGACAATCATTAAGAACCTGGAAACACTGAAAAATCATCTCACCTGAATACGGAATTACTTCACATTGCTCACTCAAAACACACCACCTGAATTGAACCCAGAGTCTATTATTTCACGCGTGGATAATTACAGAGCCGAAACCCTAATTCATTGACACAATAAAGTCATATGGAATAGATTCGATCATTTAGATATGTTTTCGTCAGATGTCAGTTAAATAATATAAACCAAATATAATTTCCTATTAAAGTTAATGAATTTTATAATCCTAAACAGATCGAAACCTGCAGGTCCTCCGTAAGTAACCGTTATATATTAAGTGTTTGGAGTTAATATTTGAGTTTTTCAACCTTGATTATGTACGTGAGTATTGAAATCTATAACATTTATGATGCTGTCAATTCAACAGTGCTAAAAATGGGCCACCCAGTCCGTAAGTTTTTAAAATATATTTTCGTAATCTGTATATATACATATATATGACGAATAATCATTCGACCATGACATATGAATACAGATGTTTCCAATGTGATTCTCGTCCTAGAAACGATTGTTAATTTGATCACGTCACCTAAATACAAATCTGTCCACTGACACCCGATGATACTCATTGCAATCCTCTTCTTATTTATTTCTGGGAGGATGTTTCAATGGTCCTCGATCCATGAGAATCTCATACTACAAGCGCCTTTCGTGCTTCTTTGCACATCATCAGTGCAACTCCGTGTGTGTCGACAGCATTTTAATTCTGATGACCAGATTACTACAACACCCCCAACCGAAGATAATCTCTATTGTTTACATTGCTTCCAATGTGTTTCACAAATGCCAAGTACTGTCACTTTGTATCTTCCAAATTCCACAGATACTTGAATGATCGATCAGGTTCCACACATTGTGCGAACATTGCATGTGCTTATAATAATTGGTGTCCTGTTTGTCAGGAGAGTCATTGATCTCGTGATTTCTGAACAATCGTAGCTTTCATCATCAAGTATCGTAACACTTACGATTGAAGACTTATTGACTCCCCAGTTGATTGAGTCTGTTTGGGTTCAATAATCGTTCATCTCGTTAATCATTAATTTACAAATTTCAGCGGTGTTTGGAATCAGAATGCATTGAGAAGCGGCAACTACAATTTATTAGCTTTTAGCGGAGATCACATCGAGAGTATTTCTGGCGAAAATTTCTCCGGATAAATTTAGAGTATTTCTATATACCAATTCTGCTGAACAACATCCTATATCTTGTTTCGTTGTTACTCTTATATTCAACATGACTAAAGGAAGCTTATTAGCTCAATCGTTGTTAACAATGAGAGATTTACAAGACGCTTTTAACTGTCTATGCTGACGTTCAACAATTCCGTTTGTCACTGGATGATTGGATTCCGTGCGAGTGTGACGATGTACTTTGACGTTTTGTCACTTCATGCATGCCTGTGTCCAACTACGCATATTGCGATTCATGTTCGCTGATTAGCTTCACTGTGGATTTAATTCCCGGATGCGATATGTTTTGCAAGCTTTCAAATACCTTCTGTTGTGATGGCTTCGGGATGAATATTCGCGGTCGGCCTGTCGACGTATCATATGTCACATTTGCGCCATCTAACTGAATATCTTCGATTACTAATTGTGTCGTGTCATCGGATCTTAGCTTGTTAAACTCAACGTCCGTCTCTTGTAACTTCGCCAAATTGTGATAATCGATTCCACTTGGAATAGGCGCGATGATCATTGTTCTTGATAGTACATCAGGTACTTCGTTATTTTGGCCTTTAATATGTCGTATATTAAACGTGTAATGGGGAATAAATTTTAACTGTCGGGTTTTCTTCGGAGAATAATCATCTTGATTGCGCTTAGTGCTTTCGTGAGTGGTTTGTGGTTTGTGTGCTTAGTAAAATTCGTACCTTCCAACATGTGTCGAAAATGTTTTATTGCTAAGTAAATTGCTAGTAATTCTCTTCCGAAAGTACTGTATCTCGTTTGTGTAGGATTCAACCTCTTCGATAAAAATGAAAGCGGTTCCCATGTGCCATTTACTAGCTGTCGTAAAACATTGGATGCGTCGGTCATGATAGCTAATGGTGTTTCGCCCTTACGTCTGGCTAGCGTCGTTTCTTTGTTTAGTGCCTTCTTGGCGTTTTCAAATTCATGTATCGCCTCTGCTGATAGATGGTATGTCAAGGCATTTCCTCTAAGCGTTAGTCAACGGTTGGAGTATTGCTACACAATTCGGAATAAAGTGTCTGTAATAATCTAATAGTCCTGGAAATCGTCATAACGTCTTACGAGAGTCGAGCAACGGATAATCTCTGATGGCACTGACTTCTACTGAGATCGGCGCAATACGTCGAGAAGTTATTACGTGACCTAGGAACTGTAGGGATCCCTTTCAAATTTCACATTTCTCAACGTTTATGGAGATGTCATGTTCTCGTAGTTACATAAATAGTTGTCGTAGTTGCTGTAGATGCCTACTAGTAAATAGTCGGTGTAATCATATACTCCATGTAAACCTCTGATGACCTGGTGGATAAATAATCTAAAGGTTTCCGCTGCATTAGTAAATCCGAAAGGCATGCGCAGAAATTCATACAACCCGAATGGGGTCGTTACTGCTGTATTTGGTACGTTCTGTGGAGCGACACGAATATAATAGTATCCTCTAAGTAGGTCAACCTTTGAGAAGATATTAGCGCTTTCCATACTGTTAGTAAAACTGAGAATGTGCAGTATAGGGTATCTGCGGGCTACTGTTTGTTTGTTGAGTTCGTAACAGTCTCCACAAGAATTAATTCCTTCATTCTTCTTTGGGGCCATGTGTAACGGGGATCCCCTCTGGCTGCACGAAGGCCTTACAATCCCTAGCCTCATCAGCTTGCCGAATTTTCGTTTCGCTATTTTTAGTCTTCTCAAGTCTAATCTTCTTGGCCTTGCGTTCATTGGTGGCCCGTTTGTTATAATATGGTGCTGAATGAAGTGTTTGAGATCTGCTTTATTGTTTGTTACTTTTGCCAGTTCAGGAAACTCCGTTAACAAAGATTTACATGGATCACCGCGACTATTATCTATCACTAGATTCATGGGAGCGGATTCCTTATGTGTTCCTCTTATTGCAATGGGGTGGCTACCGTTTATAAGTCTTTGACGTCGTGAGTCTACCAGCAGATCGGAGTTATGTAGAAAATCAATGTCTATTATGGGCACTGATGCATCGGCTATGACAAAGTTCAAGCGGTATGAAGCGCCTCATTAGGAATCCAGGAACAAATTTTGTTTACCGTATGTCTTAATATTTGATTAGTTCGCCGCTTTTAGCACTAGTAACCTGTTAAAGTTTTTTCTCCCTTCACTTACTGGAGGTACTACGCTGATTTCCGCCCCTATATCGACTAAGAATTGAGCGCCAGTTACCCCGTCCTGGACATAAAATAAACAGTTGTTTCTAGAAGCTTTGCTAGTTACCGCAGCCGTCACCGACAACCGATGGGATCGTTAAAATTTGCATGGTGATCTACATTTACGAGCTCTGTCACCGTACGTATGATGGTACCAGCATATTGTAGGAGATGAGCGTCTCCTAGAGCATGATCGGCTTCTATCTCTCGATCTACTTTGTAATGATCTTCTTTGTCTGTCGTTCTGATTTAGGTTCGTCTTTTGTGGCATACAGCATTAATGTCCTTTTGTAATGCATCGATTCTTTCATCTACTGCAGAGTTATATCTTTGTGTACTCTTGTATCTCGTTCTCTCATATATCCTATCGGCTATTTTAGCGATGTTATCTTTGTCTACATCGCTATCCTCGATTGCAAGGACTTGTTGAACGCTTACTGCGAGTAGTCGGAGCCACAACTGGTAAAATATGTTCCAATCTACTTTTCTGTTCCCAATTATGCTGCTCATATGATTTTTGAGCTGTGATGGAGATCTGTCTTCTATATGCACTTGACTGAGCAGCTGCTCAACAACTTGCAGGTCGGTTATTGAGACGGCCTTTATCACTGCCTGCTTTTGTACGTCGTATTATTTTTTTTGCGTCCCGCTTAGCTGAGACCTCTCGCACATTGTCTGTTACTTCGTTTGGAAGTAGCGAGCTTGCATGACTGAATATATCTCGATGTAAGTGAACACGGTTGACTACAACATACTTTTCAAGTCTAATGAACCAAAGTTGGGGGTCAATGACCTTAAAAGGTGGAATAGTGAAATTAATGGACCACATGGACGTGTTTGTGGAAGGTATATCGTGTCTTTATTTCAAAACATATTGATAAAAATTAAATGGCACACGAATATAATGTAAATATCACAAGGAGAAATGGTTCGGCAAAAATGATGATAATAATAAATGGTAGGATTTCAAACAGAGAACGTACTTACTAAAGTGCACTAATATACAATTTGTTTCTGAAATAACGTTATTTATTATGAGTATTATCGTTACGTTCAATAATGTTTGCGAGATAATGTACATGAATTAAAATAGTGATATAATAAATCATCAGCAATGATTATAATCCAGTTGATAATCCAAATCGAGACAAAACGCCATGAATTTTTGAATTTAGTTTATATCGTCGAAAATTGTTTCGTGTTCGTTCGTCGGGGTCACCAATTATGTAGTGGCTTTCCTTCGCTAATCGTTCACCTCGTATTTGAAATCAGAGGGCAATGAGAAACGGCAACTACATTTTCTTAGCTGATAGCGCAGATCACAAAGCTATTAGCACATCAAACGAACTGGAAGTGGAGAGGCGAATAAGTACTTACGAGCAAATATATAAGCATATTTATAGTCAAATTGCATAAGGGGGAAGCAAGGACTAATAATAAGATTTGAGTACATATATACATGGGGAGGAGGATGAATTATCGAGTGACATTTAAACAATCAATATTTTAGCTCGATTTTATCAATATGATCTATTGATAATAAATGTACAAAGAAATATACAAATTGTTACTGTTCAAATAACATTGTCTGTTAAGAAAGGGGCTTAACCAAAATTAACCATAATCCAAATTGGTTGTAGGATAGTTGCTATAACGATCTTCAATTGATTTAAATGATTATCTCTGGTTAGCGTTTGTTTAGCAAGGTTGATTGGTACGGGATGTTGTTACTAGACCCATCCCCAATCATGAATGACTGATTGTTGTTAATCTGATCAAAATACTTGAATGTGAATTTTTATCCACATATATGATGCTATGAATATTAACAGTCCTAAAGCTCCAGCACCTACTACGTGAGTTATTCGAAAATATTTTCGTAGTCTGTATATATATGTATGACGATTGTTAATTTGATCATGACACATGTATATAAAGGTCTGATTGCATGTTCGATGTTACTATTTACGAGAGTCCTAAGCCTTCAGCAAATGTTAAGTAACTTTTTTGTTTATGACCATCTTGATATTGTTTTACTAGTAGTGATCCTATAAATAATCATTGAACGTAACTAACCGAAACCCACTCCTTTGGAATTGTATCTGAATCGATTAATAACATATAAGGAATATCAAAACCTTTTAAATATTCTTAAAAAACGACTCCACAGGACTTCATGAATGCGTTAATGTTATAAGAAATAAATGGGTTCGATTGTCATACTGCAAATCTTCTTGTTCATATATGATGCTCTCAATAGTAATGTAATAAGTCATGATTTTATATTAATGAAGGGAACAGGAAGTTTTTCAATTTTTTTTTTGTGGAAATTATTATTTAGTCTTGATGAATTTGTTTTCTAGTGCTTAGTAGCTTAAAACTTAAATTCAGAAGTTTCTTTTATTTTCCTCAATCCACCTACATTAAAGTGGCATCAATATCATATGCCAGGGAAGTCCACTCACTCCCTTCTCGTGGCGTGGGTGTTGTTTACGAAAATGAGAGGACGAAAAGCGAATGTCCGGCTCTTCAACCGGATTTCAAACCAATGGTGCACATGGGCTCCAGTATCCTGCGGGAACAAATGGCGTACGAACCAATCGCTGGTCACCGGCTACCATGGGACTACATCTCCTTACGATGCTCCACTGCATTGTGGATCAGACTCTCAGGTTGAAGGCTCGGGATGTGTCCCCCTAAGAAAACCACCTGCTTCGGTTTGGGCACCCGGGCAGTATCACAGCCCTCACGCATATCGAATAAGATTTGTGTGGCGCATATGTATGTGGTGCTTCTTTGTACCAATATATATGTGTTGAAATAAATAAATAATGAAGTGAACATAATTTGTTGTCAATATTAAGTTATTAATTGGTGAATATGTTATTATTATATTTTTTATTATCAGTAAGAGGTGAGTAATTTATGAATCCTTTTGAATGTCATAATTTGTCATTTTTATTTTTTAATGTAGATAGAGATATTGGTTCTTGAACAAAATGTTCTTATCTTCATGATGATTAATAGTGTTGTAGTGAACGAGAATGATAAGTCTTGAGGATTGAACGCTATATTCGCTTCCTAAGCTATTCTGTAACCCCTAAGCTAGAACTTTACAGTGACCTGAACACGAGAGAGAAGACTCAAAGTATGCGAGAAGTACTTTACTCCAAAGTTCATTTTTGTACAGAAAACATGGGTATTTATAGATGTTAACATTTGTTAAATCAACATCATACTTTAGCCAATCCACTAAAAGACACATTATGCTACTGACCAATAGTAGCACGGCATGTTGACATTCTAGAAAGCTCACTCATGCTCTGATTGGCTAGGACTCTTCGGCTCCTCTGGAGGCTCCGTTGCAGTTCTCGGAAAGTCGACTCAACAGAGAATACAAGTGGGGACAATCGAATGTATTTGAATAAAAAAATTACAGAATCATTATGTAAAATCTGATAACAATAGATACTTCATGCAATTGGTTCCCTTTATGAATTTAAATAAAGCAAGAACAAATAATGGTGCAGAATAGTATGAATTCATATTATTTCGAGGTTTCTCGTCAGCTGCTTACAAACCAAAATTGTGATAGAATTTTTACATTGAGATATAGTGAAAACAATTGAAAACAATTGAGTGTAAATAACTGGGTTACAATAATAATTATATATATATATATATATATATATGCTAGAACAGGTCAGAGGTCAAAAGGAATTAATTCGGGTTGGGTGGTGTAATAATGGAATTGAATCATCATAAGATAGGTTACGTAATAATAATAAAATAGAATTTGAAAAGTTAAGATAATTTAAGAGGATCAGGTGGCGGAAATGTGTGAATGATAATGTGGCTTAAGAATTATGTAATAGGGGAGGAGTATAAATATTTTAAAATAAATAAATAAATAAAATAAAATGGGGTTATCAGGGTAATGATAAGTTAATTAAACTCTCTTTTTGGATGCATAAGTCAGGTTTAAGTTTTTTGATCATGATGGCTTCAGCAAAACAGAGGGTGGTCGTACTTCTTTGTCTATTGATAATTTTGAAAGCATGTGGAATCTGGATGGTGTGCCCGGTGTCAAGTAGATGTCGAGCTATTGCGCTGTTGAAGGCCTTATTCCCTCGCAGCCTCAAGTTTTTTGGAATATGCTCAGAAATGCGGACATCTTAACTTTTCAAATTCTATTTTATTATTATTACGTAACCTATCTTATAATTATTCAATTCCCTTACTACACCACTCAATCCGAATTAATTCCTTTTGACCTCTGACCTGTTCTAGCATATATATATGTATTTACAATTATTATTGTAACCCAGTTATTTACACTCATCTATGTCAATTGTTTTCACTATATCTCAATGTAAAAATTCTATCACAATTTTGGTTTGTAAGCAGCTGACGAGAAACCTCGAAATAATATGAATTCATACTATTCTGCACCATTATTTGTTCTTGCTTTATTTAAATAGATACTTCATTTGCAAAATGTCAATCAATCATCTCAGACTTCATTGTTGTTTCATTTCTACACTAATCATTCTTTGTTCTCGTTCTCTTTTCTTTGATCTTTTTAATCTTCTGTTGCTAGACATATATGATACTTATATCTGTCGACATTAGTAGCACACACTGCAGTATTTATTTGGGTTGTAATTTGATTAGTTTGAAGATATCGATGGCAATATTAACTAAGATGGTTGTGTTCATGTTTTTCTATGGCAGATGGAGATTAATTTTAGTCAGTGCTTTTATCCAACTCCTCTACTCTAATATGTGTTCACAGCAATTACACCATCAACTGACCTTAAATCAAATTGCAGTAAGATTTAATGAAGGATGGCATATACGGACTTATAAAGTGAATGGTTTACTGAAAACAATCTTTGAATATTAGTTTACATTAAAATGAACTGAAATTTTGAATATATATATGTATATATATCATCTTCAGTTATATTAAAGATGTATTGAATTGACAATGAAATGTTTTTCTGTACACCATCTATCAATATTCGGTTGTTTTAAGAGTTACCAATTATTCATCTATAATATTTCAGTGAGCTTCTTGTTGTAGTAACATAGTTGGGCAAGACTATATATATATGGACAAGCCAATCAGACTTAAGGTGACAAGTCTCGAATTTTGGCGTGAAACCAATTCGTTCACCTGGCTAAATAAAGTTTTGGCATTATAACTGATATCATTTCGTGATGAAAACCCTAAATCTAATTCCTAACCTTAACCATCAACTGTAAATCATAACTTTAACTTCCCACATTGGTTAATAATCCTCATTTGGCCCTAGTTATTAGGTGGATAGTTTCAAAGTCACTTTAGCATCTCTCAAAGGTCGTCGTTTAGAGAAGAAAGTTTTTTTCAGATTTCAAAATCAAGGACATTTATTGAAGGTTAAATAAGTCCCTAACCAATCAATCCAGTTGAACATTTGACAGATAAAGCTTGATACTTTAACAGATAATTAATTCATTTATATTTATAATAAACAAACAGAATTAGTTCGACCAACTATTGTATATGAATAAATGAATAGTTGACAGTACTCACTAATTACTTGCTTCTGGCTTAGAACGTCTATCTTTGAATATATTTTATACAGTTTGAATTAGTTTATGTAGATGATTTTATATGGTCAAACTAATTATTCTGTCATCAATTGTCCTTGTTGTAGACCACACGATGAACGGTATGTTAAATGAAGGTCTTTTTTTGTTGAATGATTTTGTAACATGTATAAATCTTTGTTAGCACTACATGATAAAGAATCACTAGTCTGTTTCATTTTTATAAATTTACCTACGCCTGTTACTCCCAATGGAGTATAGGCCACCGACCAGCATTCTCCAACCCACTCTGTTCTGGGCCTTCCTTTCTAGTTCTACCCAATTTGTGTTCATTTTTCTCACGTTTGTCTCGATTTCTTGACGTAATTTGCCCTTTGGTCTTTAACTTCTTCTTTGGTTTTGAGGATTACAAGTGAGGGCTTGCCCAGTAACTCAGTTTGATGCTTTCCTCAATGTGTGTTCTATCCACTTCGAGCGATTCTTCTTGATTTCTTCCTCCAAGCGGAGTTGATCAATTAACTACTTTCTTTTAAAAATAGATACTCATAAAAGTCATTGTACTTATACCAATAAATATTTCTAAACGCTTATGTGGTTTGTATATCTGTGAAATGGCTTTAATAACCTATTATTTCTATTTACGTCAAATCCCGACTCCAGCTGAAAAACAATTGTCAACTAATTCAACTTAATTGTTTGACCCCTGATATCATATTGTTCAGATTTTTGAAGTCAAGTTGTAAATGTAGTTGATTGCTGTCTGATTTTGTTTTGTTTTTTAAAAAAAAGATATTAGATAGTGCGATGTAAGCTTTAGTTGAATAGAACCAACGTTCGCATTCTTCCCAAACAAGTATTATTGCATTACTGAACTAAGTATAAAAATAATAGAAATAATGATATAATTGTGGAATTATAGTGAGTAGAAAATTGGATTCCTAATGTTCATGATTTAATACGGGTCACTTCTTCAAAGAACAAATTAATAAATTTTACAAATATATCATTATTTCTAAATTCATTTGGTGTTATTTGCTTGTATCTTCCCATTTTTGTTTAAGACTGCAATTCATCAGTCTCTTGTTGGCATATGTGCATCGTGAGCGGACTGCCTCGGTATTGCCTAAAGTCACAAGCTTCATAAACCAAGAGAAATGGTGGCTAGAAACGGAATCCAGGACGCGCGTTTCACCAGTTGGATGTACCTGCATTCCGAAGTTGATGTTCACACTGGGATTCGAAGACAGTACCGTCCGCTTCAAACGCCATCGCGTTATTCACTTAGCCAGGACGAAACGCTCGTCCTGGATTCTACTGCTAACCGCCATCCACCTTTATCGTTATTTCTGTTATTAACTATCTCCCTCCTTGCTTAACTTGTTTGAAATTATTAAATCAAATCTTAATAATAATGTTTACAAATGAAAACAGTGTCAAAATCACTAGTATATTAAGAACAGTGTCAACTAATTAAAGAAATCCAGCTTAATTGATAGTCTTAGTTATTTTAAACTACATTTAGTTATCTTCAACATTAAATGTTTGTTTTGATTAAAGTGGTGTGATGGCTGCAGCGGCTGCTCCGTAAGTTGGTCATGTTCTATTTGTGATTTAAGTATTTGTTAGTGAATTTGAAAGCCATGGTTTTAATAATTTTCCATGGTTAGGATTCGTTAGCAAGGTATTTTTTACGAGACAGGGTTGTTAACGTCATGGTCAACCGTACTCCTTTACCAAGGTTTAGTACTAGCAGTAACTGTAGAAGGGATTCAGGCAAAGTTCTAAAAGTCATGGGGAAAAATATAAAAATCAAAGCATTCATTGTGTGTACTTTAAATGATTTAAAAGTGACTTTTTTATTGTATCTCTGATTTAACTGGGGTTTAAGGATAGAACCTAGAAACCAGTATATAAGGTTAGCTTCACAAGCGTCTGGCGTACTGTACGTGGTAGTTTTCAATTATGATTTGATAAGAAATAAAAATCAACGAACTAGATAAGTTGTCATGATTAGATTTAGCAGTCAATACGTAACAAAATGTTATGGCATTCTATCAGTTGGATTAGTCAAAATAACGTACCACTCACCGGTTAGTATATCTGAAGTTGTTACCATGTTCAGTAGCAAGTTTCAAATTCCGAATACTTTAAAAAATAAAAAAAATTAGAGTAACCACAAAGTTACGACTTATCAGCAGACATTAGAGAAGAAACTGAAAAAAACGAAACTTGTAACGAAATTCACTACTTCTCTTAATCAAAGATGCATAACAACAATAATATCAAATATAAACTCCCAAATTATTTCATACCTATTCTGATATTTTTTTCATTATATTTCTAATGAATAATCACAGTATCGTACTTGGACTAATTGGGTAAGAAACAAAAATATTACTTAATTCAATTTTGTATTGGTTGTTTGAATCTTCCCGTTAATGTTTGTTACAGCACTTGATCAGTCACTTTTAGCATATACGCATTAAGTCACTAGCATTATCAGCGAAGATGGATGATGGCTTGTAGTGGAACTAAGGATACGCGTTTCGTCCTATTTTAGACTAGTCATCTGGATGTAACTGCATCCTATAGTTGGTATTCAATCTGCGACTCTGGGATGTAGATACATCCAGCTGACCAGTCCCAAATAAGACGAAACCATTGACCTTGTTTTTAGACTTAGTTCGTACCATCTGTATCAGTATTACTGAGAATGATTAAATAAATAATGATTTCAATGATTCTAAATGCGATATAAAATTGTTGAAATTTCAATCAAATAGATGATATTTGAAATTATTAGTGTTAGTAGATAAAATTGAAATAACTCTGGGTTTATGGATTTTCGAAGACCAGATATAGCTCAAGAGCTTCTGCTTATGTAATCGGTACGTCAAATCCAAGCAAAACATTGAAATAAAAAAGACATGACCTCAGAGAGTTTGATGGCTTGGAAGACATTTTTAGCTTATTGACGATAGAACAAACTTTTATTTAAATTTCAAATGAATTCCAAAGATATTTTAATTCTTTAACTCAATGATAAGGTGAGACTATAATTCATGGACGACCTTTGAACGACGCTTGACTGACCATGAGTGTCCACCTAATAACCAGTACCAAATAAGTGTTATAAACCTGTGTGAGGTATTAGAATTATGATTTACAGTTGATGATTAAGGTCAGAAATTAGATTTAGAGTTTTTATCAGTTACAATACCAAAACTCTATTTAGCCAAATAGATGAGTGAATTTCGCGCCAAAATCCAAGACCTGTTGTCTCATACGTGATTGGTTCGTCTATAAATTATAGTCTCGCATGTGACACTTTTGCAATATGATTAAGCTCTTATACTACTATTAATTAAATTCATATTAGAATATATAGTATCTGCCAGAGTTTCGTCAAAGTTTTCTTATATTTTCTGCATAGATAATGAGATTTAAACTTAATTCTCTAGTCTTTATAAAACGTATGCTACATAATATAGATGATTGTCGGTGTAGATCACCAGCGTAGATGATCTATGTCGAAATGATTGAGGGCCTATTAGAGTTAGACGGGAATGGTGTGACAAACCAGCTAACGTCGAAGTCACACCTCGCGGTCAGCACCTTATGTGGATTGCCTCATCGACATATCAAGGTACCATAGATGCTTTGAGGACTGTACAACACAAAAGACGTTATTACAGAAATATATTAATTAAAGTAGATACAAGCGAAAGTAAGACCAACACAGCATGAGCCAGTCTATGGCGAACGATTAATTGATGCACGTTGGTCGTCCTTGACTTTGACAGGGATTGATGATCGGTTCGATATTCACTGACCCAACTGCCGGATGATTTAGCTAGCGCTTAGTGACATTTCTTTGGCCCTACATCGAACAATTGTTTCTTGCGGATTTGTAAGTAATAAACATTGATTAATCCAGTAATAAGGTTTTATTTTGAAATTTGAAGCTAATTGTATCATACAAACGCTAGTAATCAGTATATAATTGTCAATAGGTTTTCATTATGACTCAATTAAAAGATTAATACCAAGAACAATCATTATTACCATTACAATATGATCAGTACACTATTAAATGAATAAATGGAAATTGTAACAGAAATATTAGGTACATTTACGGAAACTTTAATACAACATCGTTCAATATAAATACAGTCTATAGTACAAGGATATAAGAAGTGTACTGTTTAATATGAATAGGCAAGTGATTGGTTATATAATGTAAGTTTAGTATTTTTTTTTATTATATAATTTTTTATAAAGTACAATTTGAATTGGTTAGCGTTTTTTAGCGAGTTAGTTTTCTTCGAGATGGGGACGCTAAACCCATGCCCAACCCTCCTCCTTTATCCCGGCTTGGGACCGGCAGTAGTCCCCGGAGGGACTCCAGGCGGAGTTTAGTCGACTAAACCATCCAACTCAGATAACAAAACTCTATCAAAATCATCCACCTGAGCTACAAATATTCTCCACCATCTCGAAGTAATTCATACTGAAATAAACCAAGTGTTTTCCTATTAAACAAACATGTACTGTTGATTCTTTTAATCTTTTAATGAAATGAATATAATCGTCAATATAAGATTTTAGTCTAGAGTGCGAGGTTGTAGATACACACTACTGAGGAATCCTATACTAGAAACAAACAGATGTCTAGTACTTCCAGGTTTTCAATAGTGATCTAACATTGATCGGTTCATGATCTCAACTGAAGTATCATTTTATTGTCATATGAGATTTTGACAATTTTCTTATGATGTTTAAGATCATTTAGCTATTGGACTGGATAGAAACTATCACGATATTCATTATAATGTTGAATGTCCTTATTTCTTGAAGATATTTCAATGTTTTGAAATCTTTTGCCTCTATTGGAACTTATCGTTAAAATGAGAAATGGATCCTATCATAGTTAATTATTTACATTTTGAGATTTTCTTGGAGTGTTATAACTTGTGGCTTTGTGCTCTATTAATATATAACGTAATGATAATTATTGCCGGGATGTAACATGGAGAGAGTTCGATACTAAATTAATTATTAGTAACGGGTTGTGGAGATTGTTTAGTTTAAATTGATATCATGAATGGATCAATGATTAACCATCATCGTCAACCTTCAATCACTGGACGGCCGTTTCATCCTAGTATGGGACTCCACAGCAGTACAAATCCGTAGTCCCGCATGCAAGATCCGAGATCAAGACCTTCGATCTAGTGCGTGAACTTTTAACTTCTATACCACTGAGCCGGTATCTAACTGTGTTGATGTTTAATTTCAACCAATTCACGATATTACGTGACCATCATCTATTATTTTTAGTGAGTAATTACCTGTAAATGAATAGGAAATTTTAAATATTACGTTTAATCGTAGATGGTACGAATGGTCCACCAGGGTGCTTGGTACCTATGTCGTTGCGCCACAGGATTGAGCTGTACTATTCAGATTGTAGCGTTAAAGCCTATACGGTGTCTGGTTCCCCTGCTAAATGGGGTTGAGTTGTACTGTTTGGATTCTCACATGAAAGTCCGGATGGTGTCTGGTTCTCCTGAAAACCAATGTAAAATCACTCTGGCCCACAAGGGTATATTGTATAATTGAATAACTTATCTCAAAACAGACATGGATGAACTCCACTGACCATGGCTTCTCACTTGAACTTCGAGAAATCTATCTTGTTTAATGATTATATTTTTGCTTCATCACATAAATACCGTAACAATCAATATCAACTATTCGTTGTTTCTAAATGTTTAAAACAAAAAAATAATCTCAGTCTTTTATAAATTAGATATTTGAAGTGTCATGTTACATAGGAAGACTTTAACACTACATGTCAATAATCATTTACAGTGTTTATAAAGGTCTAACAATTTGTTATAATTTTCTGCCTCTATTATATATCTCTGAAAAAAATTCTTCAATATCGAGTTAAGTATTCTGAAGTAGTTCTGTTGTTTAAATTCCGATTCATACAATCACACACTCTCTTATGTTACCAACTAATCTATGAAAATGAATAGTTCAACAAAATAGAGGACTATAAGCAGAGATGGATAGTGGCTAGCAGTGGAATCCAGGACGCGCGTTTCGTCCTGTTTGGGACTCGTCAGCTGGATGTACCTGCATCTCAGAGTTGATCAACTTCAGTCCTAGAACATCAATGGGAAGATTCAAATAAAACAATATCAAGTGAATTAAATTTCACCCCATTGCACAAGCAAGTGGCTATCAGGACTCAGTAGCTAAGTGGATAACGCGATGGCGTTTGAAGCGAACGGTACTGAGCTCGAGTCCCAGAGTGAACATCAACTCTGAGATGCAGGTACATCCAGCTGACGAGTCCCAAACAGGACGAAACGCGCGTCCTGGATTCCACTGCTAGTCACTATCCATCTCTGCTTATAATGCTTGTAAATTAAGGCAATATCGAGGCATACGCACAGTATGCACATATGCCAATAAGAGACTGATCAACTTCAGTCCTAAAACATCAATGGGAAGATTCAAATAAAAAACAATATCAAGTGAATTAAAATAGAGGACTGTTATGGTTTTGACTCTTTTAAACATTTTAACAATATCATCATTGAAGAGTAGATTTATGTTAGATTGTGCTGACAGAGTGAATACCAGACAAAACCATGATGATACAAAACATTGATAGATTAATTGTATGAAAGCATATCTTTCACAGTAACATATTCCTTGTTATCATTTCCATTGTCAAATTAGTTGTTGTAGACAGTGTTTCAATATTTTTATGATTCACATCAGTATTCTTAAAATAATTAATTTAAACTTATTTTACTTCAATATTTTTTTCTTTGTTTCCAGGCAGTACGTAGCTAGTTAAGCCTTAGGCTTCTTAACATTCAAATAATGAGTATTACTTCGTAAGGAGAGTATTATTTTACAAGTTCATTAAAATATAGAAATTAAAGGCATGTTTAACTTTCATTTAAAATAACTAACATTTTGTTTGTTGTTAAATAAACTTAACTGAACTATATATCATACTTTGTCTAATAATTTCAAATATGGGGATCAACTTTAAGTTTACTTATATACCATCTTTAGACTGAAGATAATGTGTTGGTCGGTATTCAATATAAACTTCGTATATAGTTCGTCTTGATAACCGTCATTACTTTGTATTAATCAGAAGATGAATACGAAGTATTGATTAAGTTTATTATTCAATCACACACAGATAATCAAAATTACAGGTATGCTAAGTAAGCATGAAAGAGTAGTGCCAAAAAGCTAGTAGGCAAGCAAGTGAGCATGTGAGTCGAATAAGCGAGTCAAAGTGAGTCAATGAACAGGATTAAAATGTATGTATATATACATAGGGTAACGAATGAATCATCGAATCAATTGAGCGACTTATAGTAAAGCTAACAGAATGAATATGTGCATAGACAGTATACATATTCATACAAGTGCAACAATAAAAAATGTACAATTATATAAGATAACTTGTTGTTATACAAATGACTCTATCCGTGTTAACAAAGAACGGCTTAACCAAATTAAATATGAACAGACTCAGTTACACATGAACTGCTATAATAGTAAACATGTTTAAAGTGATTGTAATGATCAAGTGGTTCATTTTGTCGAATTAGTTATTAATATTGGGCTTTATTTTCAGAAAGTTTTTAGATTGAATTTACACTGATGGATTATTATGCTTGAATTAGATGAATCAATAATAATTGTGGGTTAAGAATGAACGTTTGAGCAGTTACTACAAAACCAAATACTACTGTAGTGGTAAATAAATCCCTAAAATAAATAGCTCTGTAAGTTTTCGACATTGGATGCTGACCACATGTTTTAATGGACTCACCTATTTGAAGGCGCTCGGTCACGCATCTGCACTAGATCACGTGTGGGAACGCCGTGCTCAAAATCTACCGCAATCGCTAGCCAGATTAGATCAGACAATTTCGATATATTGGTTATCGCCAAATACACTCTTCCGATCTCCTCGATTCTGTGTTTTGATTTCTTTTGATGGGTACGAGTTATCTTAGAAGATGTTACTGGTAAAAGCGTTGTTAAACACTGAATACTTGTGGCATCTTCACTACTAATTACATAAATTATTGTAAAAAGGAAGCATCAAGTGAAAAACAAACTGAACAGAATACTAAAGTCAATAACATGATTAGTAAACATTGGGAATATGTAACAGACATCAAGAAACTGTGATACTAGATCATTTAAAATGGGATTATAGTTAAACTCATTTATAAGTTATACAAGCTTACAAGGTGACTTATCTGGACATTATCATGCGTTATTGAAAACTTGGTTAAGTAGGACGACATTTAAGTATGTTTGGCAAAGAAGTAAAAAACACTCAGTTTTACCGAAATGTTGTTTTGGCCAAATTTAGAGAGCATACGACATAATTATAATCACGTAAATGATAATAAATATCATTCAAACAAAACTACATGATTACAGCTGTAAACGTATAGGGTTTCTAATAACCGTACCAAAAAAACTGAATTGAAAGGCTTAAATAATTTATTAACTGGTTAATTTCAAGAGTAGAGTATTTGTAATAAAGCGATGAGTGAGTAAAAGCTTTAAGTATCTTCTATGCAGAAATCATTCTTAGTATTTCTGTTGTACAATGGTTAAACACTTAGATTATAATACTTTCGTATCCCCCTACTTGTAAGCTCTCAATTGACTCATAAACTATTGCTGTGTGTCTTACCTTTCTGTTAATTTATAACGGATGTATCAATCATTCCTTTTCTATTTATGGAGTAGTTATGCCCACATTGTAATTTCTTAAACTTGTCAATGTGTGGTCAAGACTTCGTTTTATATTATCGTATGAGTGACTCATAAGTCTGTACAGTATAGTTGGAAGTTGTCTACTTGCTGAGTTATCTATTCTGGCTACCTGAAGAGAAAGAGCATGTGAAACTTCATTCTGAACAAATAGACATCCACTGTTACTCTCACCTTATATCTCACATTTAGCGTGTCATTAGTTAGCTGAAAGTCATTAATACTAGATAGACAGTATAGACGAACTAATCAATATTCTGATTAGATCAATGCAAATGCTAATACAAATCTCACGGGCCTCAATTGAGTAGACAAGTGAATCTAATTATTCTCACCGACAAAATCAGTATCACATTTAATAAAATGGGAATAAAGATTTTCTAGGTTGGAAGCTGAGGGGAATCCAATGAATAATCTTGGAACCAATATGATAAAACTTGATTTAGTGTATGTTTAAAAGCATAAATTAACCGTAGGGCAGTGTAAATTAGTACTTCAACATATACCTTTAATTCTGACAATAAACTTGACTACATATTTTATCGTAGCTCAATCTATCATACTCATAAGAAGAAATTTCGAAAAGTCCACCATTTACTAGGATACATTTTGAAAATTAAATACTAAGACAGCTTTACAAAATGTGATATATAGTTGAAGTGAAATGATATTTAGAAAAGCAGATATCATATTTATTCCATTTTTACTCTATTACGAAAACAGAAACACTGTATTAATGAGAACAAGAATGTTTTAAATAGTACTTGATATGTCTTGTTGTTTGAATGCTACTTGTTATATCTGGTCGTCGTTGGTTGTTGTATCGGAAACGCTTATCACTTATACTTGAAACGAGGGATCTCGGCAATTGTCACAACGCAAAAGTAAGAACACGAAGACTGGTATAAGTGATCATTTATTAATCCCCCCAAAACACGACGACTCTAGTAATCATTACATTGAATCAAAACGGAAGTAATCTTGAATAAAACTCATAATGAGTAAACCAATCGAACATTAACTTTTCTTCCCGTCATATCAATACTATATGTTGTTAGTGTAAATATTTGAAGGGAAAATATGCCGCATTGTTAAACATTACACCAAACCATAAATATATCCATTACAAGTATGGTCATATATATACTTAAGTATAGTTCAAGGATTCTTATCTTCAAATGTTGAAACATATTCCAATATATCTTATGAGTAGTGTATCAATCTTAATGTGATTTTGTTGTTGTTGTTGTTGTCTCTTCAAAGGGTAGATAAAAGGAAAAATATATCAATCACTATAGTATTTCTGTTTTTATATCTGACATAACTTAGTAAAGCAATATGCTATATATTTTTATAAACAAAAAAAAATGACCACATTTTGGGATTTATATACATAGTCTTAAAATAGACTGCTTAAAAATGTAAACAGGGCACCAGTACACCACTTATGAACCTTGTAAATTTAAAGGGATCAACTAATTCAGAAATAAGTCATATGATTTTGTACAACATAGGTGTGTTTAAGTTGAATGAATTAAATGTTTGATTCAAGATAATTAAATACCTTAAAGACAGGTGAATTATTCCACAGCTTCTTAATAGAACATCAACAGTTCCATCTTGAAGCTAGTCATTTGCTTGTGAGCAAATTAATAAAGTGGGATTTATGAAGATCATGGAATTTCCATAGTTTAAACCACTAGATGACCGTTTTTTTTATTATTTCACTAAAGAAAGTAGAATATATGGAACTACTATTTCTTTTAATGGCTCATGAAGGATTGTTGAATAAAGTCTCACATTAAATTTATTCAGTCATAAATCTGAATAAATTTGAGTGAACTATTGGGTATCTTGATGTAGTTTAGATTCGGAATCTTGTTTGTGATATCAGAATGAAGATTGATGAAATGACAACTACCAAAACTAATTTATGTATTATCACTACATATATTCTCACTGTATAGTAATTGAGAAACTAGATTACTATATCTATGTATTCCTTTTATCACAAACTTTCGGTTGACCTGTAAGCTAATGCCATCTGACTTAATATTCCAATTTTCTTACCAGTCTATTTCCAATCTCCTCTATTCACAGCTTGTTTATGCATAATTTTTATTTTTATTTTTTGGTATGACATGGTTCAGTATGTTTGCATATAAACTCGTTTGGATGCTACTTTTGTACTGAAAGCAGGGGAGTACTGGGAGTACTGGTATGCTGAAGGAGATTGTAGACGCAAAATTGACTAAATAAGAATCTGGATTCTGTTTGGTAACTTGTCACAAGACATTGGTCAGCGGTCTCAAGATATATCACGTTTAATTTAGTTCTATGGACTCATAGCTGAACACAGATTACGCATAATTTATCTTGTTTCAACCTATGGTATCCACATTAATTTCCAAAATGTGATTGTTCGATATCTCTATTCAAATAGCAGGAAGATAATTAACCATTGGAAATACATATACACGTAAACATATATACTTCACTGATATCATGAACCTATCAATGTTAGACCACCATTAAAAAATTTGAAGCACTGGACGGCCGTTTGGTCCTGATATGGGACTCCTCAGCTGAACGAAACGGTTGTCCAATAATTTCACGTTTTTAATGATGGTCTAACATTGATCAATTCAGGATCCCAAAAGGAACTCAACCATCTCCAGAACCCTATACTGATACCATGTATTTCAAATTCATTTCAGTAAGTTGATAGAAGCGCTTTATGCATAACCCTCTTGACTTCTGACTTTATGGTTTAGTACAAGTGTAACGATGGCTTTTATACCCCACATATAAATATTCCAAACATTCCTTAAATGTGATTCGCACTATGCTGATCATGTAACCCTATGTAACATCACAATGAAAACCGACAAACAAAAGGTACAAGACTGAAACGTTTGTTTTCTCGACAACTTCTAATCATAAACAATTCTCTCAACTCACAATAACCTGAAGAGCTGAATCTAGACCCTTCGTATAAACATTGAAAATGTCATGTTTACAATGATCCATAAGTAAACATTGATCAATGACTTGAATTTTTTACCCTTGAAAGTAACTTACTCGTTTAAAAATTTGTTTATTTGGTCAGACTACTCATAAGTAGACAAAAATGTTAAAGAAAATATCGTCTTAGGAGACATATAATTTCATCAACAAGGGTTTCAGTG